CTGTCAGATAATAACCATGGCATGACTATGAGTACAGTCTACATGTAAACTGGTTTACAGGTGAAGCTATCCTTGTGGTTTTAGTTAGCTTCATCTGTTGTTTTAAAATTCATAATGACTACTTATAACTTTTCAGACTCAAATTTTTTCCAAAATTGCAACAAAGGCTTCATGTTCCCCAACAACTCACTGTTACTCCTGTGCAGTTTCCTCACAAAGTATCTCAAAGATACTGTTCCATATGATCAACAAAATAGAAATTCCAAATAATTAATCTCCTATATGGTGCAGAAGTTGTCATAATTTAATACCCTTACACATAATTATATTAAAAAATCTGTGCAGCCATGTACATTTAGAACAACTGAAGTTCAAACTATTTACAACTGAAATTACCATGCACAGCAATTACATAATCATTAAGCTTGAAGCAATAACATTTGTCACTGAAAAATTTAGATCTGGTATTCCTAATGGATGATGTTTTATTTCTATTATTGGTCCCCATAATATCGTTGCTTTAAAGTCCTGTATTTCCGTAACATGTACAAAGCCTCAACCTCTTTGATGACATATTCTCCTCGGGCAATCAACATTTTGATCTTCTCAGGGTCTGTTTCATCTATGTTTTTCATAAAAGCTTGTTTAAGTTTGGATTTAAAATACTGTTCCCCTGCTGGATAGTCTCTTCCAAGAAACAATAACTGTAAACAAAAGGACAAAGATCAGCCAACTGTAACCAGCTATACTGCCAGTAAGTAGACAACTGAAGAATTCAATAGGAAAATTTATTACCAGAAAAGGAAATTCCATGTTAAATTGAACAAATCATGAAGCAATGGGGGCCATATCAGTTTTCAAGTGCCATTAAATACAGAATTCATTAGTCAAAAAATGGATTTTCCCTGATTTGCATAATTGAATTGAAAAACTTTTTTGCAGTTGTGGCGTTATAATTTCATGATACTTGTTATGTATATGTAGATGGGAAACAATATCACCTAGCCTCATTTTCAACTCGGAATTCCATGCTAAATACCTTGCTTCTTTAACCAATCAGAATTTGAGATTGTATTCAGTAATGCAATTCTCTCTTGAAACATTGAGTTGTATTTGACTCATTGGGGGTGCGTAAAGCAAGTTGGTAAATCTCTGACAAAAAAGCCTTCACGCTGCAAAATGAAATCACACCTTAACCCTAAACCTCCTGAAGTGACCAAGACAGAATTTCTTGTTTCAATATCAATAAACCTTCTGAAGTGACCAAGACAGAATTTCTTGTTTCAATATCAATAAACTATCAGGCAGACAAGTGATAAGAATAAAAAATATCAGTTAGAGAATTATCAGTTGATCCAATATCAAAGTCTTCAAACTAACGTCATATGAATTGTATGTCAGACAGTCAGGAGAATTGCTAATGAGATCTTGGCAGTGAAAAGGTTAAACACAATCAAAGGAGCCTCTGACTGGAAGGGTATGTTTCTAAATAACTGGAAAGACCTCAACTTCTAAACCAAGACCAACTTTTTTTAAAGGATGTGTAATATTAACCACTGTTATAATCCTTGTCTTGAAAGTGTCAGCAAGACACACAAGTGAACAACGAATAAAACACTTTATTATCCGAATGTGCATTGAAGAGTACAAATACTGCATGATATTTGTACTCCAGAAATATTCATGAAATTTGACTGCACTGAAATAACGATTTGGCTTGCTGGATTAATATATCTTATTAACCAAGCGTGAGGGCCATACTGGGAGAATAATGGCCTGAGGTCTTGACAGTACAGACTGAGCACAGCGAGGTCCATACAAAAAAGACCGAGGGCCAATATTCTTCAAGTACGGTCCCGAGCAAGCTTGGTTAATAAGAGATTTATTATACGACTGAAGTTCAATGGGACACAAGTGTGGTATCATTCGGGACCATTCGGGACAGTGCCCGGTCCAATACTTAGAGAATATTGACCGGCAATAGAGCATTTTGATTGATTGATTTTAGTTATTGACCCTCTGACTGCCCGAGTCGTGTAATAATAAACTCTTCTTAAACGTTTTGTTATTTAGTATTGCTGAGTATTTTTACTTGATGTTTGTATTTTGACTTGCTCTACAAGCTCATCAAAATATGGCCCAACTCATAAAAATACTCAGCAATACTACACAACAAAGTGTTTAATAAGATTATGTAAATCAATTAAGGTCAAAAGCAAGACATATTTTCTCCATCAACTGAGGATAGTTTATCTACTGGATATCCACGTAATTGATTCTTTCTTCACAACTGGGTTNGTTGATTTTAGTTATTGACCCTCTGACTGCCCGAGTTGTGTAATAATAAACTCTTATTAAACGTTTTGTTATTTAGTATTGCTGAGTATTTTTACTTGATGTTTGTATTTTAACTTGCTCTACGAGCTCATCAAAATATGGCCCAACTCATAAAAATACTCAGCAATACTACACAACAAAGTGTTTAATAAGATTATGTAAATCAATTAAGGTCAAAAGCAAGACATATTTTCTCCATCAACTGAGGATAGTTTATCTACTGGATATCCAAGTAATTGATTCTTTCTTCACAACTGGGTTTTAGTGGATAAATTACACGTAGAACTTTCAACTGACCTGCTTGTAGAGATGTTTCACTGCAAACCTCAAATTGTTGGCATTTGCCATGTCTGAGATCAGTGTATCAAGCCTAAAATGGAAACAGCAATCCTCTTCATTCAAGAGACATTTTTACTGGTACAAGTCATTTTACAGGAATCAAGGGGAAATTGACTTTTTGCTTGGAACACACCCAAGGAAACCAAGAACTTACCATTTACGAGATATTGTTTGAGCAGACCAGGAAAGAAGTAATATGATTTGTAATGGGAGAAAATAATACCTTAGATGACCTTTGGTCTTGAGACCCCGTGAGAAAAACATCTGTTATGATTATTTAACAGTGGGATAAACTGTGCAGCTTAACTTGCGAGGCCTTCGTTGAGTGGTGGGCCTTTGATTTGATGATCTACAAAACACTTTACATATTTCACGTCCTTTTAGGGTTTTATTTGTTTTCAGTTGTTTTTTGGTATTTTTCTTTTTATGATGGGGCTTAAGGTCTCTGATAGCCACGCATATTCCTCAAAAGAAGGCAAAAGATAAAATAGTGAAAGCTGACCTATTTTCCGGTACCGACGAAAATATCGCACTCACATTCGATGCATGGTGAAGGTAAACTTATTGTCTTACGTAATTACACGTTTTAACTGCAAAATTCCATTAATAAATTTTCCACATGTACAGTCAAAGATTTCAACGAGAATCACTGTATAATTACTCTGCTACATTAGACCAACCTCTAGGCTGTCAGCAAGCCTGGTGATCTGTAAAATGCACAAATTGTCATCAGAGAAGTGCTACCATCTTCTTTATAGACTAATATTTAACCCGTGTTAAGACTACAAGATTGTTACAAAATGGCTGACGACCATCGTAGTCCCAGGCTTTCGCGTTCAATTCTCTCTTCAGTCACGCAATGCGTGACATTACTTTAGGGTTGTGCTACAACTTTAGGCGTTAGAGGTTTGAAGTTAAATGAGCGTGTAAGATATTATTTGGTCTCCAAGGGTCTTAAAGGAGATGTTTATCAAGAAGAGATTTAGATAAATATTTTTGAGTCTTTTAGTAATATTTTTTATTATTTACAGAATACAGGGCCACTTATTTACATCTCATCAAATCACAATACATCCTTTTGAATTCTGTTTCTTCTTCAAAGCATTCAAAAAAGGTGAATCACAGTGGCCCTGTACTGTGCAATTGCTGTTTTAGTTGACTTTCTCATTATACCAAAGGAAATGATTTAAAAAAAACAATAGCTTATTTCTCTTTCCCAAGTGTTGAGTATGGTTATTTTTGGTGATGAAATTTTTGGTTGTTCAGCATGTTTATAAAAGTTGTGGTAACTCCAAAACATACCGTTAAATTTTATGCGTTATTTTTGCATTTAAGACATTAATAATTCAATTTTTTGTGATTGTTCTTATATTATATAGGAGGGAAGGTTGTCCTCGGTGCCAGTAGTTGCTAAAACATGGAACCACCCAAAACATTCTCATTCTAACATTAAACATTGCACATTTTTAGCATCACGCAGGATTTTAGTCATATCCTGCAGGTAATGTTTTTAGGGTGTTTT